GGGGCGGAAGGCCGCATCGAGTGTCCTGCACGAAACTCAAAATCTTGCAAAAGACCGTAAAAAGCTCTGCACCCGCAAAATGCACGTTCACGAGATCTCATGTGCAAGCGAAGGATCCTGGCAGAAAAGGTGCAGGACAGAAGAGAGGCGCACCGATGGACACCGGCTGGGCGCGGCCGCTCCGGTGAGCTCCATCCCGGCCACCGGGCCACACACCGCGGCGCCCACGGCAGGCGCTCCTGGGCTGGCTCCCGAGGCCCAGGACCCAGCGCCGGAGTCCGGCAGAACAGGGGGCGGCGCACGCACGCAGCGCGCGGGAAGGCGGCCGGCTGCAGGGCGGCTGGGAGCAGCAGCGGCGCGAAGGCCGCCGACGCCAGCGCGGGGCTTCAGCCCTCGAGGACGCACGGGCGCTAGGACGCGGGGCGGCCGCAGCATGCGTGAGGACGTCATGACGCACGGACAACTGGGTCAGCAGCGCCGCGCTCTGGGCGGAGCGGAGAGGGACGGAGAGCATGCGCGCTCAGCTGGCTCCGGGAACAGCCGCGGGGCTCGCGGGGCGGGGCGGGGCGGGTGAGCATGCGCACTAGAGAGTGCGCGGCCGGAGAATGGAAAGCCGCCGCGGGTTGGGCCGCAGAGCCAGGGAGCATGCGCAGTGACGTCGCGCGTAGGTTGCCACGGCAACCGCTGGCGTTGCGGAAAACGGACCTTTGCGAACCCAGCAAAGCACTGGGCGTTGCTTGCCCGGCACGACGCAGTTTGTGAGTGGGCGGGACCGCGGCCAGGCCGGCCCAGGCAGTGCCGCTCAGGGCCGGGCGTCCCCAGGTCGGCGGCGGTGTCGCGGAGCCGGGACGCGCGAGGTGCGCCTGTCTGCAGGGACGGCTCAGCCCGCGCCGCGCCGTGTCTGTTCAGGGCTCTGCTGGCCGCCGCCTGCGCTCGGCCTGACCGCGCTTCCCTGAGCGCAGCAGGCGCGTCGCGGGGCTGGCTTGGGGCCCTCACGCCGCGTCTCGAAGCGTCGCTCCTCGGTCTCCGCGGAGGTGACCCTTGCAGTGGGAGTTGGAGTCGATGTTTGCAGTTTGCGAAATTTAAATTTTAAAATTTAGTGAAGCTACAGGGGGTTAGAGAAGCTGGGCCTTTTTGTTTCAAACTGAGGGTGCCTCACACAGGTACGTTAGTGCCCTTGCTTTTCTCTTCCTACTCTCCTTAGTGAGTTTATTTTCTTTAGTGGACAATTCAGTACAGATGGTTGTCCTTATAAATGTGTTTTGGATTTTCTTCAACACCGGGCGTGTGCGTGTGCGTGTGTTGCTGGGAACTGAGCCCAGGGATTTTGCACCAAGCAACACCCGACCCTCTTTGCTTTTTGAGACAGAGTCTTGCTAATTTTCCCAGGCTGGCCTTGAATTTATAAGCCTCCTGCCTCAGCCTCCCAGAATGCTTCAATTAGGGAATGTGCCACAGGCCCAACACCCAATTTTTATTTGTTTTTGCTCGTTTCTCTGCTGCGGGAGAGCGAGTCCAGGGCTTCAGGTGTGCTGGGCAGGCGCTGTACCCTGAGCAACACCCCTGCCCTGTTAGGGCCTCCCTTCTGTCCAGCCTGAGCTGGAATGCGCAGTCGTGCTGCCTCTGGCTGTGGCGTGCGCTACCTGCTCTTTGCATCCAACTCTTTCTAAAAGTTTGGGCCTTGGGGTGGCGATAATACTCAGCGGACTAAGGGCCTGCTTCAGCGAGCGCAGGGACCAGGGTTCGCTGCCCCAACCCACCTGTCTCGCCAGCGCCACCCCCAGGGGCACGCTGAGCTGATAAAGAGTCCTGGCGTGGTGGCCCAGGCCTGTCATCCCAGCATTGGGGAGGCTGAAAACAGGAGGATCACTATGAGTCTGAGCTGCGTAGTGAGACTCTGTACCAAATACATAAATGAAAAACATAAAAGTTTGGCCCTCAATACTATTTACAGGGATACGGGAATAACTTTGTTGTTCTCTCTCCTAGTACATTTTGAACCCTCATCTTCATAACTTATGTCCTTGCCCAAAAATCAGAAGTGCAAATTCCAAATTCTGCCACCAGCTTTGAAAAGGATTGGAGGGCCGGCCAAATAGCTCAGCAGATTAAAGTGCCTGCAACCAGGCATAGGGGCCGGGGTTTGATCCCCATGCCTGCCGTGCTGGCCCTGCCCCAGGGCGCGCTGAGACAGCATAGGCCTGTAATCCCAGCTCTAGGGAGGCTGTAAACAGGCAAATCACTATGAGTCCAATCTAGTAGTGAGACCCTCAACACCCTGTAGACCCTTCCCTAAAATAGAGAGAGAGAGAGAGAGAGAGAGGACTGCAGCAAGAATCACAGTTTACAGGGTCTCTTCTATGCCACAATTTTCCTTTTAATCATTGACAAGGTTTTCCATATGCAGTCTATAGAATAACTCTGGACAGTCAATATTTGTAAGCCTTCTTTTACAGGTGAGAAAACAGATGCCCATCTGCTGAGGGTCTCACCCCTAGAGCAGGAGAGCAAAACTGAGCCATAGTTTTCCTTTCCCCTGCGCTGTACATCTGCATCTGGGATGGCGAAGTTAGCCAGTTCCCCTTCTCCCTGGGATACAAATTCCATGCTGGTTCCCTATGTACTTTGAGTTCCTTGCCCCTGAACTTCTACCTGTTCATTTCCCTCTGTTTTTCACATGTGAGTTTAAATGCTATTTTTAGGAGGTTTTTAATTTCCTCCTCTCAGTTCTTTTTGGTCTCCTATTTCGTTTTACCTACGCATAAGGTGATATGTGCTGCTATTGTGTGCTGCCTCGGGTGAAGCATTAGGGGCCAGGATGAGTTGGGAGGACTGGTTTCAGACCCTCCCCGACCTGCAGAACCCTCCCCGCATGCGAGCTCAGTGCTGCCCTGCCGCAGCCACTGGCTGTGACTTCATTACCAGTCATACCCTTAATACAGATCTTCCTCATAAAGTTTGTAAGGTTTTTATACACATCTTTCGGTTGTCTGTGTTTTACAGTGGAAGATAGAAAGCAGCGTGTGGCATGAGACGACAGGGTTTCTGACAGCCCATGTTATGACTCTTCCCAGATCAGCATGCCGAGCGAGGGACAAGGTGCGGCGCCGCGTTGGTTTTATTCATGGCATAGATTTTGATTCGCACACTTGGAAGTGTAAAGCACATGTAGACCTTGCCCCAGCATTTGCGCAGGCACGGGCACCACGTGGGGCCTGGAGCCATGAGACAGGGATGAGGAAGAGCCAGTGCCCCCGGGCGTGACTTCCATAGGAAAGGTGCTGCGTCTACACAGAAGCACAGACCAGACCCGGGTGCAGGATTCTTTAAGAGCCGCCTGGAGTCTGCTTTAATGATAGTGACCCAGTGGGGGTTTGTTTAGGCACCGGTCTATAAGTCATAATGCTTTTAGTTATACTACAATTAAAGCTTCGGTAATTTTTTTAAGGCTTTGGTAATTAAACAGAAAGATAGTCCTATGTTGTTACCATGTGCTGAGCGGGTGTGCGCCGTTCGGGCAGTAGTGGCGAGAGCCTCCCTTCCCGTTCAGCGTGGTCCAACGGACCGTCAGGGCCCACAGCTGACGCCAGCCCTCTGTGAGTAACGCACTGCGCGATGCTCTTGTAATGAACACGCTTTTCCTCCGTTTAGGATCATTCGTCCCACAAAGACAACTTAGCAGTCACGGCAGTTGCTCTACAAGATCACATTCTACGTGATCTTCAACTTGGAAATCTTTCGCTAGCTGGTCATGTTAAGCCAAATGTTCAAAAGAAAGAGAACCAGGCAAAGTCTCTAAAAAGAGATGCAAAAGCAGTGATAGATACTGGACTTAAAAAACCTCCTGAGGACTCCAGGGTGCAAGATCCGGAAAAGGAATACGTCCTGGACCCCGTCCCACCTCCGCTGACTTTAGGTGAGCTAACCTGGCCACGGGGATGTTGGCTTATTACCGGATCTCTGATGGCATGGGACAGTGCGTATGGCACAGAACTAATCTGCTTACACGCAAAGCTATGCGCTGAGAAGCTTCAATATGACAGGGCGGGCCAGGGAAAAGGCTCGCCGCACGGCACCTGCCCGGCAGCACAGATGGCGAGTTTGAGTCCTCGCACAAAAAAATTTTTAAAAAATTGATAGGGACAAATTGAGCAAGAAAATAAAGATATAAGCTGGGTGTGCTGGTGCCCTTCTGTAATCCCAGCACTCTGGGAGGCTGAGGCACGAGGATGGCGAGGGGGAGCCCAGCTGAGGCAGTTCAGTGACTTAGCGAGCTCTGGCTCAGAAAGTGTTTCAGAAAGGACTTTAATTCAGTGCAGAGGCCCTGAATTCACACACCCACAGATGCACGTACGCACAGAAGAGAATAAAAATAAGTAACTGATAGAAGTAAAACCTGAATAAATAAAAGATGAAGAAAAACAGTGGAATGACAACTGAGGCTGATAGGCAATCAATATGGGAATCATGGTCGGTGGGTAGACTAGTGCAGAGCAGGCTGTGCACACGCAGGTTCCCAGTGTTCCCACACAGGTGTCCCCAGCCAAAGGAAAAGTAGCCACACAGTGGTGCCCTGGGCAGATAGCACCATAACCAGTCAGTCAGTGGTGTCCCCATGGTGACACATGCTAACAAAGAATGCCCCCTGGGAAAAGGCCTGATGCCACCTCTGTGGTGCGCATGCCCACCACCTGATTAAGAACACCCAGCTGAGCTTAATCAGGAGCCTCGGGCGAGTCGGGAGGGACACCACACAGCGGTCAGCAGTCCTCAGAAGTCTCCAGAAAAGCGAAGACCTGGCAGCTGGCCTAGGTTATGGGAAGTCGAGGAGATAGGAAAGTCGATGCAGTGTGTAATCCTCGACCCAGTCTAGAAAAGAAGGTCACAGACAGATGAAGAATGGGGCCCACCCTCCTCCTGCTCGCGGGCTGCGGCCGGGGCTCCCGGGGCACTAAGACCCTGGCCAGCATCAGATCTGCGAACACTGTTCAGATCTATCATGAACAGCCCTATCATGAAGTTCAGCTGTAACTCAGATACAGAGGAAAGTAACGCGAATCCTGGTAAGACAGGACAGTGGCCGCAGTGAGCGTGCTGTGGCAGGGCTGTGCGCGTGGGCTCTCTCCATGCGTCCCGCAATCATCAGGGAGGTGCAGAGCCCAGCTGAGGATGAGGGGCACAGGCGTGTGTCGGAGGGTCACTGGCTTTGGGTGACCCCGTATCACTGAGCTATGGGCACGTCCGTGGTGGAAGTCAGGAGCAAACAGCATCAGTGGCTGGGCAGGTCTGATAGTTGAAGCGGTTTTTTTTGCCAAAACCTTTTGGGAGGCATTAAATAGGAAGTTGCTGAGTCTTTTAACTTACTGCAGTGTGGCTGCTGACACCTGTGGGGTCCTGCAGGTGACGTGCATGAGGCAGCCACGTAGGCACCGTGCTCTCCTTTAGCATCCGCGCATGCTTGAAGCGGCCCCATGCCGGCCCCCTCCTCCTCGGGCCGCCGCCAGCCCTCCCGCTTCCCGTTTGCCGACGTTTCCCCGTGGCCTTTCATATGCTCTTACGCTTCATCCAAGTTGGCAAATCCTCCTCCTTAACCTGTCTTGCTGGACGAAGGGTTTTTCTGATGTCTCAGCAGCTCCCTAGGAAGCCCTAAAACCAATCACACTTTATTCCTAAATTCTCCCAGCAGTTTGCGGCTTCAACCGATGTCGCCGCTTCGGCCCTGGTGAGTGACTGCCAGCACTGCGATGATCCGTGCGTGGGCTGGAGTCTGTGTCACTTGCTGACCAAGTGTGGTCACATGCCCAGCGGGTGTGGGGTGGTGGCACAGCAGATGCCGCCCTCACCAAGGGGCATGTGGAGAGAAAGCACAGCTGTGACATATTCATAGCGGCCAGACTTGGGATGGGCAGGCGCATGGTCTGTTACAGGGCTTTAAATCCCAAGGCTTCCTCTCCCAAGCACGTTTCCACTGCTGAGATGAAGCGTTGATGGGCCCGTCCGTCCTCACACAGGTGGCTCTCACCACACTGACTGTAGTACAAGGTGGCTATCACCATGCTTCCTGACTCTGTTCTGGAGTAACTTCTCAGAGATATGTCCCTTGAAAGTTTGGGATAACTCACTCAACTTACTGGTAAAATTATATGGCTTAACCCTGTTCTGCCGTTTCTTAGTGGTATCAGTTAGGGTGCACTTGGTTGCAGTGACAGCATGACCACAGGACAAGGACACGAACGTGGGCGACAGGCATTGGCAGCCGTGCCTGCCGGGGGCACCCTCCCTCCACTGCACCACTGTCTTGGGGTCCCCGTAGGGCCCCAGTGAGGCACAGGCTGGAGAAGGGGACCCCCTTCACCTGAAATGGGTCCCACGCCCACTGACTGTTGAGGGCCGGTGGGCTGCCTGCACGGCAGAGGCCGTGGACCAGGGACAGCCTGGCCTGCTCGTCACAGGATGAAGGGCCGGTCGGGGCCAAGGCTGGGGACAACTCAGATGTCCTGCGTTTTCTTGTGATGTTTTTGATATTTGTACATTTTCTGAGAAGCATATTAATCTTATCTAGATTTCCAGATGTATTTTAAAATATATTTATCTATCTTAGTTTATAATTATTTTTTCAATTCTTTATGACTATATCTCTTCTTGTTTTTCTTGCTATTTTTGTTCGTTTGTTTGTTTGTTTCGGTGTTGCTGGGGATGGAACGCAGGGCCTCGTGCATGCCGGGCCAGTGCTGTGCACCGAGCTACATCCCCCACCCATTTTCTGTTTTGTCTGCATTTTCCTTTCTTCTTAGCTTGTCCAGTAGTATCAGGAATGTCTCTTTTTGAGAAAAACTAACTGGATAGCACCTTGCAGTGATCTTGGCTTCGTTCTGGCTCACCTTTTCCTTGCACCCTCTTCCTCCTCCCCTCTTTAACTTTTCTCTTTCCCGGGTCCTTGAGTAAAGCGCTCGGCCTTTTGCTGCCAGACTTTGATTCCTGGCACCACCTCCACAGGCAGGGCCCGCTGCAAGCCGCTCAGCCTGTGGCCAGACCTCTTCCTTTTCAGTTTGGTTGTGTGTCTGTGTGTGTGGTTGTTGTTTGGTTTTTTAGCTTCAGTTGCTAGGTCACAAGACTTGCACATCAGTAATCCAAAAGCAAAAATCCCGAACATTTTGGGCACCAACGTGATGTCATGTTAGATTCTGGATTTCAAGAAGAGGGATGCTCACCTGATAAAATCTGCATACATACTGCAAAATAAAATAAAACCTCCAAACTCTGAAATGCTTCTGATGCAGACAGCCATTTCAGATAAGGGGACTCAACGTGTGCCATTCAGGGTTTTGGGCGCCGTTATTCTTTGGGACTTGCCTTAAAGTTCTATTTTTGTTGCCGCTATTTTAAAATATAGTGTTTGCTTAAAAATGATTTTGGATTTCCAGAACAGATGCGGAGATGGCCGGGCTTCAGTGTGCCCGCTTGGCCCCTGGCTCTCACATTTACATGTCGTGGTCTGTTTTGCAAAGTGAGAAGCACACACTGGCTCTTCCCTGTTGACTAAAGTCCCGACTGGCTTTCGCCACTTTCCTGCTGGTGCCCGTTACATGCCAGGTGACCGTGGCGACAGTTTCTTGTGACCTGGGCCGTGGACTCCTGGCCAGGTATTTGTGGACTGCCCCTCAGTGTGGGCTCTCGCATGTTCCTGTCATGGCGAGGCTGGGGCTCATCTCAGTTCTGGGGGTACATGGTGACCTGTCCCTGCTGGTGGCCCTGGCTGAGGACCCCTGCCCTGCCCCCTGCTTGTCCCCGCCCACCTTTTCCTGGGGAGTAGTTCTCTACATCCGGGGCGGAGTAGCCATGAGCTCCCTCCTGGAGGGAATACTTCTGTGTCCTGTGATACTGTGGTTGTCAAATGGCTCCAAGCTTCAGCTTTCTTCTACTCAAACAGCAGGTTCAAAAAACTTGACTGGCATTCATAACTTTGCTCAGTAGTCAAAGCAAAACTCAGACTTGAAAATCCCACAGCAGGCTGAGAGGAAGTTACAGGGTGCCCCTCCCCACAAACACAAGGAGGTGAGTGACACTCTGGTCTCAGCGCCACTCTCCCCCAGGCACTGGAGAGTGCTGTGTTAGTGCATTAAAACCTTCATCCTTGTGCACTTTTTTCTGTGCTTTATTTGAGTATAATATGACCACGGCTCCAGAGAAAGTTAGCAATAGCAGCTGTAGAGGAAAACTGTGGGACCCGTAATAGAGTTAAAGAAATGGCTGAGAAATTGGTTAATGTTCTGGAAAAATAATTTATAAGTGCAATTTTGGGACCTGAGAACCAATTATTTCTTAAGGAAAAAAATAGGTTGAGCTCTCAGTGGTTTTGGTGTTCAAATGTGAATGTGGAATGAATGGAGCTCAACAGCGGCAGTGTCTCTGCACGTGACAAGGGGTCTTCTCTGGCTCCTCCGCTGGCTCGCTCACCCGGCACTTGTGCCAGCAGCGTTCGTGTGCACTTAGTTTGCACCTCGACTACATCTGTGCTGCCGCGGTGACTCTCGCGATTGTTCCGTCTCTGGCCGCTGGCCCTCTGGTCAGTCCTCGTTCTTTCATTTTGTGCACTTTCTTACCTTCTGTGGTGACAGAATCCCAGACAGACGCGTACTCTGTACTCTGTCCCTGTCCCAGCCCCAGAATCATCTTTCTCTGTGGACGCGGCTTCCTGTCGCTGGAGCTTGGGTCCAGGCTGTGCTCCGGGACTGCTCCGCAGCTGGCAGCAAGCGCGGCGGTCTCCACCCAGCACCGCGCGGTCTCGCCTCCGCCTTCTCGCCTCTCACCTCGCCTTAGCAGTTAGACCAACACGGCTCCTCCTAGGCCACAGGAAGAGCGGCTGCTCGAAGGTGCAGTCCCAGAGAGGCCCAGAGCCCCAGGCCTGATGGCCCCCACTCCCGCCAGCCTGGCCTGGACAGAAGGCCAGGCATCCAGCGCCAGCCTCGAGGCCTCTCGGTTCCACCTTCACATCTTTCTCCTCTGTCCGGAAACATGGCCCCACCTTGCAGTAACCGCTGCCCCCGGTAGTCTCCATCCCGTGGTCTGTGGTCACGTTACCTCTGGGTCATTTTTTTCAAATTTTTACTCTGTTTTCTGTTCACTGTGAGAGGAAGGTTCCTAGGGATTGAACTCAGGGCTTTTTATTTCTTGAGACAGTCTTGCTAACTGCTCAGATTCAGCCTAAAGTTTTGATCTCCTTGCCTCAGCGTCCTGGAGTCTAGGATCCCAGAGCGTGCTGCCCTGCCCAGCCATGACCAGCGGCAGTGTCTGCGTCTCAGCATCTGAATGAATGCCCAGGAAATCCATTGTCCTCTCGCCTGCCGCTGGATCCTTTTGCCTACTTCCTCTGGGATTCCATTAGCCTCTCCTCGCCTCGCAGTACATTCATGTTCAGCTGGGAAAGGTCCGGTGGCCAGGAGCCCTTTCTGCGTTCTCCATCTCTGTCAAAGCTTCCTGTCCCAGTGTTGTCGATGCAGCGTTTCTCTTGGGGCTGTGGGACCCCCTTGCCAGCTGACACTGCGTACTTACCCTCCTTGGGGCCTGGGGCGCCTTGATGTCCACCCCTGCCTTCTTAGTAGTATTTCGCCCAGCACGCCGCAGCTTTTCTCGGTGTCCCCGTTTGGGTGTGAGCTCCATGCTTGACGCGTGGTGGACACAGCTCCTGCTAGCCTGAGGAATCTGTCCTGCCAGAAGTGTCACTTCATAGGGCGTTGTGGCAGGAAGACATGACGGCTGTGCACTCCATAAAGGTCACCGGCGCAGAAGCAAGATAAAGCAGAGGCAGAAAGTGCTGATGGCTGATGGTTTAATCAGGCAAGGAACACAGGAGGTTTGTGAAAAATCAGTATTCGGTATTTCCCTCCACAAAACTGAGTGTCCCTCTTGCTGGCCTTGTAGAATTTTTGTGAATGTCAAATGAGACATGGACGTAGTCATTATTGGAAGGTGAGGTGTTGTCACGGACTTCTGCATCTCTGCAAACCATCCTATATATCGCGATGTAGGAGCTCTGCGCGCACCTCGGGAACACCTGGGAGCAGACAGCCTCCTACTCACAGGTCTGGCCTGCTAACACTGCCGTCTGCCCTACAGCGCAGAAGCTGGGCTTGTTTGCGCCTCCCCCGCCGCCACTGTCACCAGCCGAGTGGGAGAGAGTGAAGCAGAGGTCCGTCCTGCAGGGCGACTCTGCGCAGCCGTGCCCCATATGCAAGGAAGACTTCCGGCTCCACCCGCAGGTGCTGTGCGGGAGGTCGGGTGGGGCGGAGCCGAGGACCCCAGGCCCCGCATCCACGCCCCACATCCAGGCCCAGCCCTCCCCCCCCCAGCTCCTCAGCCTCACCTTCCGGTCACCCCCAGTGAGTGCGCGTGGGAAGCAGCTGGCGCTGGCGCCCTATGGCCAGTGGATACAGGAGTCCTCTGACACAGCTCTCGAAGGGTGACTGCAAAGGGGCTTCATGAAACGAGACAGCTGACCGGTGGTGCTGGTCTCCTCACCTGCTTCTGCGCATCCTCCACCTGCCCAAGCTGTCACCCCAGGGAGTCGGGTGCCCTGTCCTCACTTGTCTTGGTGCCAGTTTTCTGCACTGCCTAGCAGGGTGCTCTTTGCGTTGTGCAGTGAGGGCCAGGCTTGGAATCCCCAGCAGAGGGACACAAGGCTGTCCTGACACCCTGCCCGAAATGCTCAAGCGTGTTCTAGGAAGTCCCCGTACAAGCACCTGGGTTTACCAGCGTGAGACTTGTTGGTAGGCCTGTGACTCCCCAGGGGATCCGCGACGTGCTCATCATCCTGTGGTTCCCTGTGGAGCCTAGTCCTGCCCTGTGATGGCTGGGTGCTTTGGAAACACTGTAGCCCTTGAGCCCCACAGTGGCCACCTAAGGTAATTTATGATTTAGTGCCTTAGTGTAGTGAGAGAGTTAACAAGGCCACAGGGAATCTTCCTGGCCCGCGCAACCTCTTCCTTAATTACTCTACAAACTTTAGGCCGGTTATTTGCATGAAGAAGGCAAGCTTAAATAGCTTATGGGAGGAGTCAGGGCACATCCGGTACAATATTTCTTCCATTGTTTTTTCTGTTTCTCATTAAATTCTATTATTGTTTGCTTGTGGATATTCACACTTTTCTGTTTTTCTTTACTTCTATAAACACAGTAGTTGGCAGATAATGGTGCCCCACACCTGCAATCCCAGCAACTCTGGAGGCTGAGGCAGGTGTATCATAGGTTCAAGGCCAGCCTGGGCAACTTAGCAAGATCCTATCTCAAAATTTAAAAAATTAGGGTTGGGGATACAGCTCAGTAAGACAATCCCCAGGTTCAGTGCCCAGCACCACCAACAGGTGACTGAACCGAACAAAGCCCTG